ATCGGCCCCTACCGAGCTCCCCGGTAGGTCAGACCTGGGCCGGGTTCACCTCGGCCCTCATACTTAGCATTTGTCGACGTTAGTGGCGGCCATCTCGGCTATCCGAGCTGGGCATGACTCATGAGCCATCTTGGAGCACCAATAGGGGTCCTCCACGTGTCCAGGGTATTCCCTTCCCCAAACAGTAATCTCCTCATTTTTATTTTTATTTTTTGCTACTATATATATATATATATATATTGCATTTTAATCACATTAATATTTTCCTAACGTTTCACTTAATATTTATTTTCTTTTGTTTTTTTAGGAGTCACTTAATATTTATTATAAAAAAAACTTCAACCCTTTTCTTCGGTTTACTGTTCCATGAGTCCTTTATATTTTTCCAAGGATTAATCCATTTTCTGTCGGCATTTTTGTATCTTTTAGCATATGAATTATCTTTTCTGACGACAGGTATATTTTTTTCGACAATTCTTGTCATGGTATGATTCCTTATATTATATAATTTATATTTTTTATTGGTTAAACTATTATCTTATATAATATATATACTTTTATTACAAAGTAAATGTAACATATTAGTAACTTTTTCTTTATAATTTTGGGTGTTACCGTTTACTTTTTTCGGTGTGTATTCCTTTTTCCTCGTGCAATTAATGTTTCGTCGTGGAATTATGATTACAAAGTATACGCAGCATATACGTACAATATATTTTATGCCAATAATTCTGAACAATTTAACATTACTTAGTATATGTAGCATATATCCAAAATGTATCATATATCAGTCATTCTAAACAATTTAACATTACAAAGTATGTGCAGCATATATCCAAAATATACTCAATATTAATTTCGGATCCGTTGATATTGGCCCCTCCGATCTCTTCGCTTTCCCCTTCGGTGCTCCATCTCCATCGTCGATTCCATCTAGTTCCTTATTATATATGAAATGAGAAAATGTTTTAGTAGCAAAATTAGGAATATATGGACAATTTTTTTTGTATTCCGCTTGATTTGTGGAATAACGATATTGATTTTATTTCTCTATATGGGCAACAATATAACTTACATTTGTAGTCTATCAATAGTAGATTTTTTAGACATTTATGTAATTAGATGCCTAAAGATAGTCTAATTATGTTGTTATCGGAGTAATATTTAAGGGTTTAATTCAAACCACTTTTTTTTTTTTTTACCAAATTGAAAATTCATAGTGTAACTGTAATAATCATTTAAGGTGTATTTTGTTAGTGATTAGAAAAAAGAAATCTGAAAACAATGTATTCGATGTATTCTTTTCAGATATGTGTTTGGTAACAGATTTAAAAACTGAATCTCAATTTAAAAATTGTTCAACGTGTATTTAGTGAGTATTTGTAAACTAGTAGTAGTTACCAACTAATACTCAGTTTAATCTAAAATAATATTAACTAATTTATTAACATTTTGTTATAAATTTTGTATAATTATTAATTTAGAATGTGTTGTATAGTTGATAATATATTATATTTTACCTATTTTAATTTTAACAAAAAATAAAATTAGTTATTATCCTGAAATAATATATTTATCAAAATTTTTATTTTTTTTTTAATGTAATTCAGTATTTTAAAGTTTCAAATTCAAAATCCGAAATACCAAAAATATTTTTAGAATTTTAGATTACAAAATTCGAAAACAGTTTTCCAAAACAAACATGTGTCAAAAACATATTCACTGCATCTAAAAACAAAACGAGAAACATAATCTGAATTTTCATTTTCTCAAAAAAAAAAATCTGAATTTCGAACCAAAAGTACCCTCAATTATTTTTGTAATTTTCTCGAGGTAAAAAAAAAGTGTAAAATAATTATGAAATAAATGTCGGAAGTAAACGAAAATTCCATAGCATTTGGAGCATTCGAACTTCTCAGAGACTTTGAGAAAAACCTGAATCGGAACTCCCAGGTTAGCGCAATCCATTCTCCATCTGATTCAAAAACCCTAATTTTTCCCATTTCATTCGCCCCTTCCCTCCATTCTCCCAGTTTCCGATCAGATTTCTCTATCACAGATTTGAATTGCCCCTCAACCAAAACGGTTTCCAGATTGGTATCTTCTTTTCGTTCGATTTTGTACTGCTCTGATTTTCTGGTTCTGTTCTCGATCTGGGTGTCTCTGAGCTGCTTAATTCCGAGTTTCGCCTTCGATGAAGAAATTGTGAAATTTCCCAGAGATTTTTTTGAAGTTACTTTCCGACTATTGCGGAATTTTTCATTTTCTGATTCTGATGAAGAACTTGTAGTCTGTGTATGAGTAGTATTGAATTTGGGCATTGTGTAGAAAGGGCGAGTTTGAAGTTTGAAGGGAAATTTTGAAATGGGGAAGCCTTTGTTTTGCGAGATTCTTTGAAGTGAAATTTCCGAGAGATTTTTTTGAAGTTACTTTGCGACTGTTACTGAATTTTCCATTTTCTGATTCTGATGAAGAACTTGTATTCTGTGTATGAGTAGTGTTGATTTAGGCATTGTGTAGAAAGAGGGAGTTTGAAGGGAAATTTTGAAATGGGGAAGCCTTTGTTTTATGAGATTCTTGAAAAACCAGCCACTAGTGGGATTATAGGGATTTGCTGTGCTATATGGTTTTACATCCAGAAGAAAAATGTTGGATACTCACATGTGGGGCTGAGTTATGAAACTGCCATTGAAGGGCACCATTGGAGGATAATAACTTCAGCCTTCTCTCATATTAGTGTTATTCATCTTGTTTTCAATATGAGTGCTCTTTGGAGTCTTGGGGTTGTAGAACAGCTTGGACATATGGGCTTAGGTGTTGCATATTATCTCCATTACACTCTTGTTTTGGTCCTGCTCTCTGGTGTGCTGGTTTTAGGAATGTACCATCTCTTGATTCAAAAGTTCAAACTCGAATACTTTCGACGGGTTACGGCAGTTGGGTATTCTTGTGTGGTTTTCGGATGGATGACTATACTCTCTGTGAAGCAGCCGTCTTCGAAGTTGGACCTCTTTGGCTTCCTTTCACTGCCCATCAGCTTTGCGCCATTTGAGTCGCTGATTTTTACTTCTATTATTGTCCCACAAGCAAGTTTTCTTGGACATCTATCTGGAATCATTGTTGGATATGCTATAGCTTGGGGTTTGATTCATGGAATGAATAACTTCTGGGCCATTTCCATGCTAGGATGGACTGTGCTTGTCATTATATTTAGCTTGAAGAAATCTAACACCTTCGACTTCGACTTTCTGGAGATTGAATCTGTAACAGACCCTTCCTTGCCGTCTGTTCGATTTCTTGCGTCCGGAAATGGTAGAACCTTGCAGATGAATGCATTGCCAACAGGAGATGTAGAGATTGTATGAACTTATAGGAGTCATTTGCACAATTGAGATGTTGAAATTGAGAGACTGCAATCCATTGAAATCCTGTTGGTTGTACCAAGATGATGATATGTTCCGATTCGAGATGCCCTCATGTCCGAGATCTTGTCAAGCTATCGGGATTTTTCCTGTAATTCTGGTGTGTAATTCTTCAATTCTTTGGGATTGGATTGCACAGGGGATGTGATAATTCATCCATGTGAGCATTTGCTGTATGAATTTACTATGGTTCAGCCATGAAGTTATAGAGAAATGGATCTATCAATCACATTTGTATCATTATTTGCTTCTCTTGAGGCTGAAACTCCATCTTTGAATTTTTTTTTTCTTTTTAGTTTTGCTAAGTATTTTCTATATATATATATATATATATTTCCAATATTTGATGGTGCTGCGAGCAAGCTCTCTAATTTAGAGTGAGCCTGTAATGGTTCTTTTAGAGTATGCTTTTTATGTGAAATATTTCTAAGTAATTTTTAAGAAAAAACTAATTAAATATTATTTGAGGTGTTTTAAAGTGTTCTTAGAGTTTTCATAAACACCTACCTGATAAATTTGGGGTTAATTTATTATTTTGGTCCATATAGTCTGAACTTGGTGTCAATTTGTTGTTTTGTGGTTTGGTTACATATCCCAAATTGTCCAATTCTAACCATTTTTAAACATCTAGATCTCAATTTTATGAGAATGTCTATGGAAATATCGATAAATTTTTTATGTTAATGGATATTTCTAAAAAACTTATAAAAATAAGAAAAAAATATAACAAATATTTAAATTAAAAAACAACACTCCTTTAAAATAAGTTTAAAATTATAAATATTAATAATATGTTCCCATTATGTTGATACTTTTGATATTTTTTTATTATTTTTTCATATATATATATATATATATATATATATATATATATATATATATATATATTTTGCAATATGACCATTCCCTTCTGTTGTTGATGTCGAATTCATAAATATATGGAAACATCACACATTTTTAATGGAATCTAAAACCTTATCAATTATTATCATTTTTTTATGCGTTATGTTTTCTTACGAGGAAACTTCTGGACCAGAAGTAGTAGGATTTATTCTTATAATAAAATGAAATATGTCGAAATTTTTTTATTTAAAAAACTATGGAAATCCAAAATAAATGCTCAATAGAAAAGAAAGTTGATTGGTTAATTCAATAAAAAAAATGAAGTAAATTAATGTATTGTGATTTGGGTTGAAGATTAGAGTTTTCTGATAAAACATAAATTTAAATGGGTAGTGTAGAAGAAAATTAAAGTTTTTTTTTTAATTATTATTATGATTGCTCCATAGATGTCCTATTCTAATTAGGCAAATACTCAAACCTAACCACAAAACCAAACATATGATAAAAGAAGAAGTATAGGAACCATTGGGTAGCATTTCCGTTTTTTGCTTCTGGTTTCTCGTTTTCAGTTTTTTAGAAATATAAGTGTTTGACAACTATTAATTTTTCTCGTTTTTCATTTTTAAGAATCGTTTCAAAAATTGTGCAGAAATTTTGGAAACAACAATATCAAAGTTTTTGTTTATGGTTCTCGTTTCAAGTTTTTTCAAAACATAAATAAAAATATTCTTGTATCATTCTTGACTTACAAAATGCATAACAAAAATTAAAAAATAAATATAAGATAAAAAATTTTAAAACGTGATTTTTATATAAAAATTTTGCTTTTTTAATTTAAAATTTCAAAGAATGATAAATAAGTAAAGGTTACCAAACATGTTTATGTTTCTTTTTCAATTAAAAAAAAACAAGAAAGAACAAGAAACAAAAGATAATTACCCGAGCGTAGTTATGTTTCTAGTACTTATTAAAAAAGAGAAACGAAAAAATAAGAAACTGAAACATTATCAAACAAGCATTCAATGTGTTGGACAAAYGCATATAATATCATCAAAAGATGAATGTGCACAAAAATAATCTCACCTCAAAAATTATAAATTTATGAACTAAAATACCTCAGAAATTTGTAGTGTTGTATCTCACTTCACATAAATTTTAATTTGTTACAAGTAGAATTTAGTAAATATTAAATAGGCCGCCATAAATTTAAAATGTGTGAAAACTCCTCTAATTTCATMTCTCTTGGAAATTTTCAACTTGATCTAATTTTACTCGTGGAACCAATATAAGCTATAGTTTGATCTCTGTCTCTATCTCCACTATGCTCTCTCCTCGGCCTCGTCTCTCCTCCCCTTCCACGACTTGATTATGGTCGAACGTATTATTTTGCAAGTTATAGCTTCAAGACTTTAGCCAAGCTCCTTGATCTTCAAATTGTCAAGAAGTCATTTTCATATTTTGTTAGGAAACTGTCGAAGAAATAAGGATGATTCCAAGTCCAAAAGAAAAACATAACATCTACTACCTAATTCAAATTTCATTTAGAATAAATATTAAAACCAAGCGAGAAATCAAAACAGAGTAATAAAACCAAACCAAAATACGCATGTAAATAAGTGTAGAAAGCAAAGTATGAATTGAAGGAAATTTAGTCACATTTTTTGGAATGCAACAAAACTTGGCTCCTTAAAGTTGAGGAGGAACTTCCTCCTGCACACCATTAAATATCTAACTAAGAGAAATAAATGCAAAATAATAATAATAATAATAAATTGTCAAATAATTAATAGTATTAATGAAGAAATTCCTCAGCTTTTTTTGGAAGGCAAAAAACATATATTATAATCTTAGCTATTCTTCTTGAATATTTCATATAATTTGCATACATGTTTTTTGGAAACCGCTTTCATTTTTTTCATTTACTCTTACCTTAATAATAAAAAACCATTCCATAATATATAGTAGATTAAATTAAGTCCCACAAAAAGCTCTCTGATTTTCATTTTATATAAACCAATCAATTGATGTAGTGAGAAATAGATATTGGTTTTGAGATAACAAAGAACTGAAAAAGGGCCAAGTGAAAGAGGCAAAGTAGCTTTGAGGCCATTTTACGCAATAACCAAAATTTACTTATGAAAATCGAAAAGAAAGAGCGAGTAGTGTTAGTGAAAGCGGGCATGCTAGGAAGCTACATCGACTATAAAACTCAATTCCAAAAATAACAAATACAATTACGACATAATAGAGAGAGATGGGGCGTTGTCAAATGGGCAATTGCAGCGTTAGCTATGCGAACCGTGCCATTTAGTTTGAAAGGAGAAAACGGAGATCCACTCATCCATCGATGTCGTCTGAAACAAACCCCGATAAATTTAAACTCTTCATCTTTTCACCATCGCAATTTACCTACACGCATGTTCCCTTCACTTCATTACTATGCAAAACAGGGGTAAAAAAGATAATCTAATCCATCGTTAATTTTTCTAAAAAAAACACAATTTAACACACGAAATAGACATTATTTGTGCATAAGTTTCCATGAAAAAAAAAACGGTCACAAGCATTTGATAATACCCTTCGGACCTTTTATGTTATATTCTTCGAGTTTCTATTGTAATACTTCAGATGTTATGTTCCTACACCGACAACCACCAACCTTCGTTCGGTGGTTAAAACATATCTAACTCCCTTAAAAAGATCGAAGTTTGAATCTCCACCTGAATTCGTGATGTAATAACATTTAAAAAGGAAAAAAAAAACCAACCATCTCGATCTGTTTTCGAGTCACTCCACTCCAGTTCTATCATAAAAAAATAGAACACCAACTCAAACACGACATTGTAGGATGGATCTAAATCATGCAACTAACAATACCCAATAATTTCTCCACTCCTAGCTCAGGTCTCTTTCACTTTTATTTTAGTTCTTCTCCATCTGCTTTATTTTTTGTACCAATTCTTCAAGTTGATCCCAAAAGAAAAAAACAAGCATTGTGTAGCAGAACAAAATTCTCCAAAATCCTCACATTTTCTCATTCTTGAGCACTCAAAAAGATATGAAACAAGGCGCACTAATCATTCAAATCCTATCCAGTTACCAATTAATAGGGGCATTGAAAAATCTTACCTCGTAATAAAAATTGAAAAGGGTCAGCCCCCTGCACAATACAGTCGAACAATTTGCAAACGAAAATTTGTAGGCCAACACACACTACATTTTAATGACTATCCCTTTTTATGTTCTTCACTTCAGGGTCCATAATAAACTACCAACAAATTGATTTATTCGGAACAATGAGATAGCATTTTGAAAGCTAGCCAACTGCGAACCAAGCAATTTTGAAGTCTATACGGATCTCTCACGAGCTAAGAACCGAAAATTGGATAAGCAGTCAGAGATTCGTTAATTGATATCAAGTAAAAATTATTGTGAAAGGTAGTAACCTTCTTGGTAAAAAGAGTGATGAAGGTTTACGGAGGTAGGCTGAAGCTAACATTATACACCAAACCATAATGGTGTAAGCTTGGTTGGGTTGATTAAATCTAAGAGTGATGAATATATACATACATATATAATTATATGATCCTTTTTCTTTGAATAGAAAAGAGCTTACGTGCACTTCAATCAATCTTTTAGGATAACCGTATGATCCTATAATATTTAGTAACGAGAAGATATTTAAGATCCAAAGTAGGTGTCATGTTTCATACCCATGACGACAAAGACGTTAACAGCTTATATCTTTTTAACCCCTGAGCCAACGCGTGGTGGTGGCGGCCAAGGGTGTGATGAATATCAAAACTTCGGACTTTTAACTCCTCACAGAAATTTAAATGTTTTAAGGCTTTATAGCTTGTATCTATCGGGTTCCTCGATTAATATATATTTGCACATATTCTTCAAAATCAGTATTACATACTTTATGTTTCATTTGTATGCATTTAGGATCATAGTTCATTAAGGTAATGGAGAATAATGTCAGCTAAACATTAAAAATATAGTACAATACTAAACATTTGTCTACCCTCAAAAAAGACAAAATCTTGCTCACATACAGTTTTACAAATGTTAAGAAACTAAGCACAAAGTTTCACAGAAAATAGCTAATAGGTCTCACAAATTAGTAGAAACTAGGCATATCAGACATAGGCAATAAAGATGTGAATATATGATACTAATCAAGGTGCATTCAGCAGAAGATTAATAAATCAAATATCTCAAAGAATAACAGGTGGCATTTCTGAGAGAATAGTTCATGATATGCAGAATGTAAGAGTCCTTTGTTAATGAAATCTTCATATTTAACTACCGTCTCCTAAACTCAAATTATCACACTGAATGTTAAGATTATGCCGTTGCCAGAATTCTCGAACTATAAACATCTAATGCAACTTAACCAACCCAGTTTAGCAAGGGCTCATTTCCCCACTTTCCATATTGTTTTTCTGCTTTTAGAAAAACTAAGTGTTTTTAGTTTTTTAGTAACAATGTCATATGTTATTTGCTACTTTCTAAAAGTTCTTGAAATCTAGACTATTATTATAAAATTTTAAATATGCATAACCAAAGAGGGGAAATCCGCATCCAAAACTGACTTTCAAGAAACCATCAATCAATCAATCTCCCTATTTTCTGAATGAAATTCCCTATAAGCATAGAAGCTAACATCTAAAAGTTTATCTGGTTAAACAAGTCGTTATCCTAGGTGCTACTTGCTAGGTGCTTGTACATGTTGAAATTTGTTCCAAATTCAGGATCTAGGTACTTCTGGATGGAGAACTTGGAGCCTTCTTATCCGTTAGCACTCCTCTTCACCTACTTACTAGTTATATTTTGTTGCATCAAAATAATTGCACGCCTAAATCATCTAAATTAAAAAATAAAAAGGAGAGAGAAGTTATATACCCCAAAAAAATTCCTAACCAAAGATCTAGGAAGAAAGAACCTATATGATGATAATTAGTTCATGCAGCAGCAACATAATGACGGCAATAACACCCAATTAACATCCATCCTAAAGACTTGTTGGGCAACACCTTTTAAATCTAGACAATAAATGGTGCACCAGAATCACAAAGTTGAAGTCGTCATGACGTATCATCAACCGACTATAATAAAAGATGCTTAAAGACCCCTATGTCATAAGAATTAGACCATGTTATATTTCAGCCAACTACTCGAACTTGCATTTAATAGCAAATCTTAAACCCATCAGAGATCATATGCAAATATCCACTTTAAGAGCTTGGCCATCAAAGATTAAAAAAGTCAAGTATGGGGGATTACCTAGATGAGGGCTGCTCATTATTGATTTCCTGAACCCCAGCCTGGTTGTTGCTGCTGCTGCTGCTGCTGCTGCTGCTGCTGCTGGATCTGGAGGAGTAAATTGGCGGCGAATTGGAGTGTAGATCTATATCTCTGGTCCTTACCAGCCTCAACATCACTGGTCCCAGTACCAAGGTTTGCAGATTGTAGATGCTGCATCTGATAAGAAAGCTCGGGGTTCACTCTATCAGATGCTAGCTGAGTAATAGGTTGTGACTGTGTTGTAGAACCCTGACCTTGATTAGACAAGGTCACAGTATTTGTTGATTGCTGCATAACAGGTGCACCATACCCAGAAGTATCATTTCCATTGACTGACCCATAACCTCTCTGGTTAATTTGAGAAACATCAGGCTGATACTGAGAATTGACTAAGGGTAAACCAGAAGCCTGCGCATTTTCAGGAGGGGCAGAATAAGTAGACAAAGGCCTGTAAGGAGGTACCTGCTGCTGCTGTGGGTGACTGACAGCAGCATCTTGGATTTGGGTTGTTCCCATGACCTGTGGTGCAAACTGGTTAGGTGTTTGGGGAAGAGGCGGATAAGGCTGAAATTGAGAAAGACTCTGTCCCTGAGGATTAAAATGATTTCCCATTTGATGAAATTGCTGACCCGTTAGATCAGAAGATTGATGACCTACCATCCATCCTTCAGATGTACTTCCTTTATTAGAAACAACGGGAGGATTTGGAGGTTGTGGTGAGACTGCAGGCTGTTTGGCACTTTCTAAATTGGATGGCTGTGCCTTACCAGGCAGTAAAGAAACCAAAGTGGCAATAAGCTCAGGTGTTAATGCTAACCCAGCTTGTGAAACTGCCGTCGTATTATTGTTAGTAACATACTCTTGAGGCAAGGGCTGAACTGCCGGTGGCTCACTTGCAGGCAGAAGCGGTTTGGGAGGCTCCTTGGTTTCCTCATGCAGAACCCTATTATAATCCATTGGGGGAAGTTGCTCCTGCTTTGAAGGCACTGACCCATATTCAGTCTGTGAAGACAAAACTTGCTGTCTCTCACCATAGTCGGATGTAGGAATGGGTAGATATGATTGCTGATGAGTAGGTTCACTAATTGACACCTGAGGAAATTTGAGAACGAGACCATAAAGCCGTTCTGGACCAGAAACTTTCAAGACTTTTCTCAAAAATTCCGAAGGAGGAACCAAAAACATGGTAGTTCCATCATCAAACTTAGCAACACCTGCACGGTTTTTTGCACCTAAGTAACGCAGGAATTCTGTATAGGAAGCAAAATCATCCTCGCTATCTGGCAAGAAAAAGACAATGTCGAATCCAGTGGCTTCAGCATAATGTTTAGTGAGCTGATCCAGCCCTGTTCTTGCTGAACAATTGACTGCTTCAGGACTGCAAAATAGCAAACAAAAACATTAACATTATTCCATGCAAGAGTATAAGATCTCAAACACCATCATCCACAGTAACTAGAAAAAAATTGGCCTTTAGTTGGAATCTTCAAGTTCACATCTAGACTGCATTTTAAACTAAGTTCAATTCATAAAAAAAAACAAATCATTTAATAATTATCACCAGATTCTTGGTTTAAACTAAAGAAACCAAGAATGTGGAGCTTTCCTTTTGCTTCTAAGGTGGGGTGGTGTTGCCTTAGGCAGGCAACCGATCATTTTTTTTCAGATAAGAAACGATATATATTTAACACAAGAAACAAAAGAATAGCCCAAGGGCAGGGGGATGGGAAGCTCCCTCCCAGTGGAACTAGTGAATGAGAGCTTTCCAGTCTTGAAGAATCAAAGATAATTTGTAGTTGCAAAAGAATTTCTTGTGGTGTAATTTGTAGTTGCAAAAGAATTTCTTGTGATTTACCCACCACAAAGTCATAAGCTGTCCATCATTTTTAAGAGAATCAAGAGTGGATGTTACTAGGCAGGCTACCGAAATAATCTCTATGTCTGAGTAAGCGAATTTGCAGGCCATGACGGAGAGAGGAACTTGTGTTGGACCTCCTTTTCGAGATAAGGGTCATTTACCCCTTTAACAAGATAGTTTCTCTGTTCGTGTGGAATTTATGCTTAGAAAGAAATGGGATGGTTTCTTCAGGATTTGGCACATCAAATATTTTTATAATTTTTCCTTTGTTTCCTATTACCAAAAATCGGGGCTCTATTCTTTAATTTCTATTAGTCCCACGTTGGGTGTGCCCCTTATTTTTGCACTCTCTCAAAAGCTGGTTTCTTCATAAAAGAAAAAACAAAAACTTTAAAGAAACAGACAGCATTAAAATATGTACACATATATATACACACACTGGTGTGAACCAAAACATTTTGCTCCCAGATACCACTTGAATTATTTTTAGATGCATTTTTTCCCACACAACTTCATGACATGGAAACTGTCTGTTTTCTTTAAAAACAAAAACTTTAAAGAAACAGACAGCATTAAAATATGTACACATATATATACACACACTGGTGTGAACCAAAACATTTTGCTCCCAGATACCACTTGAATTATTTTTAGATGCATTTTTTCCCACACAACTTCATGATATGGAAACTGGGAAGCTAACAATATTGATAAGAAATTTTTTATTTAAAGAACATTACGAAGAAAACTGATACTTACAGCACACTTCCTATTCCTTCGCCTATTGGGACGCAACGAGCATGACAAACAGGCGTTCCTCCCTTGGCAATTATTCCACGCCATATAAAATCATTGTCAGCATGGCTCTGACCAGGACCACCTACTGGGGCTCTTGCACCTATAGGAATAGTATGACTCTTACCTGGAGCATTAGCATATGTAACAGAAGCACCTCCATCGCTTATTGGACCAATCCCATATTGATGATCGAAACCCACACTCCGGTTATCTATTTTTCTTGGAGGAAATGAAGCATCATCTAAGGATGGTGGGCCATCTATCCTTGATCGTTTAGAATCCCTTTGAAATTGGTTTACATCCAAAACATCCCACGAATTTGGAGTAGACCTCACGGGTGGAGGTGGACGAATCCCAGTAGCAGGAGAAGAAAGTATCCCAGGTGGAGGCGGAGATTGCCTTCTCCAATTTGGACCCATCAAATTTTTTGAATTTGCATCCTGGAAATTATGAGATGTCGCCAAGTCGTTAAACTCGGGGGGACCTGAGATACCCTGAGGAGGACCAAAAGGTGGTGGTCGTACTGATGTATTAGGTCCAAGAATGCCATTAGATGGCAATGGTCCAGGGAACTTATTTTGCACCATCGGGTGAGGATGTCCTAACAGGTCCATTTGTGGAGGACGGATTTGATGATCATTGAAGAACATTTCAGGCCTAGTCTCTTTACCACCAGGATAAAAGCCAGGGTGGTCTTTTACAGGTGCCGGATCACTGTTTGAAAACATAATAGAAATCCGCGGATCATTGAAAAGCCGTCCTTGTAGACCCTCCTTAGCACGCCGTGCTTCATCAACACTTCTAAATTCTACAAATGCAAAATGCCTAGAATGGAAACTCGTAATTCTCTCTATCTCACCAAATAAAATCATAGCATTGTGGAGCATCTGTTCATCAATTTGAACAGATGGAGGGTAACCAATCCACAAAACCTTACTGGGTGGTCCATCTCTACGCACTTCTGAAGATTGATTGTGCTGCAATAATTATCAAATATTTATATTGCTATGATATGAATAAACAAATAACTAACTATAATTTACAAAATGAGAAAAAGATCATCCTATGGAGCATTCGTGTATCATCATATCCAAAGTATAAACCTTAGAAAATAAAATACCATCAATACCCAGGGGTATAGATGTAGTGTAGTTACTTGAACACCAAGAATGTGCACAGTTACACAAAAGCTTTCACATATTTGTATTTGTGAAGTATAAAAAGTAATATAAAGTGGTAAAACATCAATGATTACAAAAGGACATATGCCAATAAGACTCACCAGTGGTCTTTTATAACCAGATTGGAAATCACCCATCCCCATATTTCTACCCTGAAGCTGCCCATCTCTGGAGTCAGGCCACTGATCCTAAAGAGATTAGGATTAATTACGTCAGCCTTAAAGAGAGAAGAGGTCACATAAACTAATCTCAAAATGAACGAAAAAATTTTGCCATAAAAGGATGTCTCAAAATAAAGATATTCATTGCGGATGGTTGTTCAAGCATGAATGATCTCGAATTTTACATATGCTCCGAGAAAAAGAAAAAAGAGATACAACATAAATCTAGAACAAACACTAAGAATATGCAGGACCACCTCTAGTTTTATTTAAATTGTCAGCCAAATCTAAACACAAATTTTTCCCCATCTCCAATTCAATTTTGCTAGCATGAAAACAGAGTAGATAATAATACAATATTATAGTTCAGAACAACATCCAAGGACCAAAAAGTCCAATGCAATGATTAGTAAAATCAAGGGTAAAGTTACTACAAAAGATAAATTGACGGCCCCAGTCTGTAAATGCTGTAAACATATCTAACAGAAAACATTCATACTCATTAAGATTCTGAACAAGCTTACTCTTCTCATTGGCTGTGACCGAAGGAAATCTACTCGAATCTGCTCTCCACCAATACGTTTCCCATTCATAACTCTCAATGCTTGTGATGCATCTTCCAATCGAACATACTCAACAAATGCAGTATTCCGATCTCGCAAAAACTTAAATTCATCAATTTTACCAAATTTGGAAAATTCTTCTTCAAGTTGCTCCCTTGAAATAGCTGGGCTAATACCACCCACCCACAAATTCCTACATGGTTTTGCCTGTAAATAGAACTTGTCAGGAACTATCATTCCAGTTTCTAGAACTAATCAGCAAGAAACCTAATACATGAATGTGTCCCAGGTATAACATTAAAGAAAAAGTAAAGGAATTTTTCTCAACGACATACTCAACATTACATTTTTATTACAATAAGACGCAAGAATCAAACTTAAGCAACTAAAGAAAATACTACTTAAAGTTGAAGATGAGAACTATAATTGGTAAATCCACCAAGAATCTTGTGAGCCATGAAACTACCATTAGCCTCAAATGATGCACCCACTAGGTTTCTTTTCAAGGCAATACAACCCTGAAGCATATAGTACTGAGGTCATGGTGCTTTTCTTCCATACCAAATCAGATATATTCCCAGTTATTGATAATAATTTTTATAGATTAATTTACAATTTTTGTATTTGCAACAGCCAAGGGGCTTCTTACATAAATGACCAGGTTAGACAACAATTAAAACCTTTTTTTGTCCAGGAGGTACATCTTTAAACTAGGTGCGGAGACGAATAATTAAGTCCACATTACAATTCCTTTTCAGATAGGAAACAATTATATTTTTTAAAAATCAAGACACAAAAGGTGGAGTTTAAGGAATCTGAAACTAATAATCATAGAGAACATTAAAAGGCTCTCCAATTGGACCATCACAAAGCAGAGTAGTGACCACTTCTCTCTCAAACAAGCATCTATAGGCATGAATTATTTTCTAAAGACTTGTACTTTTTCAAAAACAGAACATTTAACTCAAATAGGTAAATTTTCAGTCGAAAGGTTTACAATCTTCATATGACCCACGAAACCCAACTAATATGACTTAACAACACAATAGCTTAGTTTTTTTTTTTTTTTTTGGGATAAGACAGGATATACAGCAATAAACCACAAAAGCCTAACCAATAGGATTGATGACAATGTTACATAGTCCATTCTCAAACTGAAGATAAACATTATCAGTGGTCAAAGCACAATTAGATCAACACTTTGAAAATGTTAATTTTCAGCATCAGTCGTGCTACAAGCCAGATTCTACACAATCCATCACAACAGACATTCTTCCTTTTTCTATTTCATTAGGAAATTCAAAAGAAGGTGTGTGAACAAGTTGGTGGATTAGAAATCTTACTGATCCAAAATGCAGAAACTACTCTTTAATTAGATAATATCAAAAAGATTGAAACACCGAGAAAGAATTGGAATTCTAAGCCCAAAGAGAGGTGTACGTACAGTCACACTCTTTCCCCAATGTCACCCAGAATCCCCCAAACAAACATTGCATTAGGTCTTCAACACAACCAATTGGCATAATATATATTCATTGTGCACACACCAAATAATAGTCATTAGAGATAAATTTTAAACGTCCTTCATATTTGATAATGATGTCCACAAGAACGAACAATTGATTTCTGCAAATATAGAAAATCCTTAACTCCTAGTTTATTCTGAAGGGTGAAATTATCAATGCTTATGGACCACAAGAGATCAAGTTCTAGTTTAAAGAACATTCTTTGAAAACAGTGCTTCCTTCCTCATGGTATTTTTGTCTTCAAAGTTTAAAAACTCTCAAAGTTGGAAAACGTGAAAAATCATAAACCTCATCTCGTTTATTTCTAGCCAGTACAGGTCAAAGTCAGAGTGCTGTTCAATGACTGATATTAAAAGGAAAAGCTATTTCCAAACAAACAATAAATCATGAAAGCGTATGCCCAGCAAATATTATGAAACAGCGCAGCCTATCAACTAAAGTGTTCCAAGTTAAAAACGTTTGCTCAAATAATCTCCTCTCAGAGTAAAAAACACACCAAATGTCATTTAGGCAAACAAGTAGCACAGCTAAGACACCAAGGCCAAGTGCTATTGAAGTAATTTTAGATATGTAGCCTTTACAATTCTATTAAGTTCTTAAACTTAATAAATTAGATTATCCTTGAATCTTGATAGCTTCTCATCATTATCCATCAGCTAGTAGAATTGGCAATAAACAAAACAAAGAGAATAAGGTACCCTTCTTTTAATGAAATAATAAGGTAACAGTTAGATTCAGAAATGTCCGAGCACCATTCTGAACAACCCCCCAATAAACGTGTGCCCAGGCGTGTTTCCCACACCTAGACTCATGTGAGGCACTTCATCTTGTTGGGCATGTGCCTCATGCTTAAGGGCGATGTTTTTTAAATAAACCAGGGTTACAAATAAACTAATAAAACGAAGAATTCAAATAAGAAACTGTTGATTCATCTCCTCTGTTTAACCTTCTCACTCAAAGCTCTCCCCCCCAATACTTGTAGAGGAACATGGAAATGATACTACAGAGGAATATGTAAAGGACTACAAGTCTAATGATGAGGAAAATGGAGATAAGGACCTATTGGTGATTGATTTTTAATTTTTAGGTCAACACAATTTTGTAGTTTACTTCTATGACTTTATGGCTTTTTGTTGATGAAAATCTTGTAATACTTAGAACTTTGTTTTTGTTTGTCTTAAACAGTTGGCATCTTATTTTCTCCATCCCATGCTTTATATTACTTAAATGTTTTCATATTTTATACATTGTGTGCTTCCCCTCATTGAATCCATCGTCTCTTTTGTCTTTGCGAATCGCACTTGAGCACTAAACGATTATTGCATTTCACTCCGCTTCACGCTTTTAGAAACACTACATACAAGCTTAAATATTTCTTCTCCGATGTAGTGGCACTAGACTGATCTCTAGCAAATTAGCAATTCTGATCTTTACAATTATATCGCCTTGCACATATGGTATGAGTTGGCCTCCTGAAAAATTCTTAATGTAAACCAAAGAAAAGAACTAAGCACTCCAAAATTGAGCCTATTTCTTCTCCAGATAGTACCAATAACAAGTTTAATTAAGAGGCAAGGGTAGAACAAAGACCCACCCCAATCTCATTACTTCTAAACAAATATAGCGTTGGAATCAAGCGACACTTTTGAAGAGTTTGTAACTTCACTAAAAATTCAGATTTTCCCTGAGGTTGCTCGTGATTGCAAGGTTCATATCGTTTTGATTATTAGATTACATAATGTTTTTTGATGTAGCCGAATGCTATCAGATTGCAAGGTTTATCAGTATGCTCTTCTAATTATTAAGATGCTCTCAAACATGCCTCTTCGCATGACCAGCTCTACCTCTGCCTTAAAGTAACAAAAGTTTTGCATTCCGCAGATCTTCATTAAATTTTGTCGAACACCCTCCGTACAGAAACTTAACAAACTTGAAGACGAAGAGGAGTCCATCAATTCCTCCATCATCTACAAATTTAATTTAATGAGAGAACCTAGGAGACTAATCTATCTCGAAAGAACATCTGACCGCTATGTATGCCATGAATGAATGTCGATGTTGGGTTTCTTTTGTTTCGATATTGAATATTGAAAAAAAAACAAAACAAAAACAACCTTCATCGCCCGTTTCCGTATATTACTAAAAAAATTACGCCTATCTCAACAGTAGTCGAAGGTTTCCAAGATGAAGAACAAACCCAATAAATTTCCAAAAGAAAGCGAGTGATTAATGGCAGACGAGTCATGTTATACAGATACACCAATCCAAATAAACCTAACGCAACACAGAGATCAGAACAAAAACAAACCGGTCTGGCAAACTCGATCTTGATAGAACTCCCACGCAGAAAAGACCCCTGCAGAGCTTCCTTGGCGGCTTGGGCATCCTCCATATGCTTGAAGAAGATGAAAGCGTAGCTCCTGGAGGAATAGGAAGTAACACTATCAAGCGCACCGTACTGCGCGAAGAGATTCATAAGATCCGCGTCGGTGACGTCCATGGACAAGTTCCCGACCCACAAGCTGTTGGAGGGCATGTCGGCGACGTCGGAGTCCCGGTGCAGTTGGCGGCTGAGTTTGGGCGGAGGCGGCATTGCAATTGGAGAACCTAGACAAACAGAGACTGAATTCGCGCACCTGGAGAGGATTGGAGGAGACTGATTTCGATGGAGCAGATGAATTAGGGCAAAGGGAATCGAATGTGGCGAGAATTTGATCTGGCTTTGAAGTCAGAGAAGGAAATTTTTCGTGTAGAGAGAGAATTTGGAAGATAGGGTTAGGTTTTTTTTTTCTGTTGCAGAGGGAAATGGGATTTGGGAATTGGGAATTGAATGAATGAATGAAGGATTTTTTGCTTCTTGTCGAAAGTTAAGGAAGTTACCATATTAAACTCCTCCACTCTCTACAACTTTTTCTAGTATATTTATGAGATGGAGGGTCTAAAATGTAATTTCATATAGGGAAAATATTTACTTTTACCCCAATTTTCATGTTGAACCTTCAATTTCATCCTATTGTGAACTTTGAAATTTTTACCTTTGATAAGTTTTCATTTGAAAAACTATGAATAAAATATTATCATGTGTGTGATAAATTATAAAAGTATATATTAGGTATGAATTAATAGGATTTAAATAAAAATGATATATCCAATCCCATTTTATTCGTTTTCATTTCTTGTTTCGTTTCCAATTTAGTCAAATTTTTTTTAGTGCAAAACCGTGGGGGATTCAAATTCATGACCCCTTGGTCAAAGAGGTACACCAATTACCGCAATTATTGCTATTATAACATTTTCATGTATATATAAGTCAAAATATATTTATTAAGTTGGAAATATCATATAATTAATTCTATCCACTTTATATTAACGTGGATCTGTATCAATTTACCCAGCTTGAAATGATTTGTCACTAAAATACACCCATTAGAAATGTTATTATATGTGCTACTGAAAAAACATCCCTTTTGAATTCATGTTAAAAGATTGATTGCCAAAAAAATATATATACTATATATATTGAACTTGAAATTTGTAAGAGAATATAAACAAAATTAATATTAGAGACTAAAATATATTTAGCCTATTATCTAATTTAAGAAAAATTACAAAATCACTGTAACAACTTGAACAATACTCAGAAGTAAAAAAAGTAAATAAATAAGTAAAAATTTTAATTTACAATCTAACCTAAACCTTAAAAGTAACAAAGAAATTGTTAGCAACTCGCTTAACTTTTAAGAAGGAAAAATTATGAACAAAATCATTACTACACAAGGTTAAATGTGAATCAATCCACATCATTTGAGAACAAAGGATGATATATAACACCCATTTATTTGAATCAAATTAAAAAGGATTAAACTCTAAAATAACATAGAATATACTGAATAAATCAGAGAGACACAAATCCGAACGTAGCTCATACCTGTCTATGATTAAAGGTTTGACCCTAATCCACATACGATGTAGTGAATAAATCAAAAGGAGATCGTAAATATGAGCATAGGTCAGTAGAATAAATCAAAGAGACACCACAAATCCGAACATAACTCAGTAGATAAGACACATATTACCTTCTTAAGGTTAAAGGTTTCTCCCCATCTCACCCGTCCGCCCCCACATTTGTTGAATTCAAAAGAAAAGGAAAAAAAAAAAGTATTTCTGAGGTAGAAAAACAAATAGAATAAATTATCTGCTTCTTCAGAAACGTCAATATGCAGTCTCTCTCACTAACAACAGAATGTACAATTGACTATATGTGTAAAGATGAACTGAACAAACCCAGGTTTGTATAATTTCAGTAATCAAATTCCATAAATTAATAGAAGAAAAGAGAGTAATGGTAATGGTAAGCTAACTCCTTCCTTACCAGTAACAGCCACTTTTTCGTCTATGACGCGAACCGATGCAGAAGCTATGTACATGATTTAGTTCTCGAGACCAAACCCGGTGCGTGCCGAAGAATCCATGTTAGGATGAAACCAATATCAAGTTTGAATAGTTACCTTCTTGGTTTTGTTTCGGTTGCCTGTATCTGCTGTGGCAGTGACTGTGATCCCCCACCGAGTGCAGCGGCTGCGGACTCGACGTGCATGAGAAGATACTCGTAGATCTTCTTCCTCAGCCTGTCGATTGTCTCAGTCGAAAAGTGTGTGGTGTCTCCTTCGTCCTTGCTAGATGCTATGCTATCCAACCAGTCGTTTACACTCTTCAGCTGAGTTAGTATTCCTGCTATTTGTCCATTATCCGACAATGCTGCAGCATCGACGCCCACATCCAAGAACCTTTCCATGAATGTCAAGAACCAGTCCTGGGATTGCAGCTGTAACATTTCAGACAAGTCAACCGCTTCGTCGAGGCCATTTCCTCTGATCCATTCTGGTGGAGGTTGAACCTGTGCCTTTGGACCCAGTGTTGCTCCTTCCTTCGTTCGACTGGGAATTCCTCCTGATCCAATAGGTCTAGAGCTCATCATCTGGCGGACCTTCCCTTGGGGTTTCGCAGAGCTGTTCTTAGATGAGTTTTCTAAAACTAATATAGGCTGATTACCAGATGCATTCTTTTGGTTTTGAGGTAGTGATAAGGTCAGATTTAGCACCGAGGGAGGTTCGCGGCTGTAAACTGTAAAAGACGAGAGGTTGGTGGCTAAAGCAGCCTGGACCCAAGCAGATGCCTGTTTTCTAGCCATTGACGTGACCTTCATTGTTTCTTCTGATGGGGTTTCTTCACTCTCGTTGCTCGAACCAGAGGGACCGGTTTTCGAAAGCGATTCAGCCACCATGTGAGCATTGGTTAAGCTAGCATGAAGAGTCAAAAACTGTTCTACTGCAGGCTGCGGATTATCTTCCTTAGCAGCGGAGTTTAACTCGGAAAATATACTGCAAAAGGAAGAATATAAGACAATAGAAGAATGCTTGATAAACAATTGATGACAAACAAACAAATGCCAGCTGATAAACTATGCAGAAAACTTGAGATTGCAAAAGAATTGGCAGGGAATTATCGAATTTGCAAGTGCTCAATCAATTGCTTGCAATTAGACCCATCTGTATTCCAGGACTTCTCAATCATTGATAACCTTCTTTAAAACTTCTAATGGAAAGATAGAGGAGATGGACACATTCTGTGCATGGGGAAGAACGGGAGTAATGTGGAATGACTCCATTCCTGTGAGCTGTAAAGTTAGTTATCCTTTATCATCCCTAGTATTCCTCCTCTCTATGAGATGTGGGATCGACCCCGCTGTTTCTACATCCTTTTGGATGATAAGGCATGCCTATCCATGTTTTATCCAGCCTTTGCTCTTAGTCGAGCACTTATTCAAAATCAGTCTTACAGTTAAACAATGGCAAATGCTTAGTATGTAATCTCTTGAATTATTACACAGCTGCTAAGGTCGATGTCCAAAAAGTGAGGTAAAAAGGGAGGGCCTTCCCGAATGAAAGTTTGCAGAACTAAGTGAGAGAGTATTAAGAAACTAGGCAATCTGAGATGCAATGATCCAAATCTTTTCTAGGTTGGCCCTTTCGTCTTTAATTTTTTCTCAATAAAAGCTTGGTTCCTCAATAAGAAAGTGTTTCCATATCAATCAGTTGAGTTTTCATTATCACTAAACAACCAGAATGGAAAACATGAAACGAGTAAAGACAAAATCTGGAAATAGAACTTTTCTTCTAACTAGATGAACGATTCCCTTGATTATTCACTCAAGATATACAAGACATATTTGCAAATCCTCCTAGAGGCTGAAAGTAAACGCTAAAAGCCTAAAAGTAAATTTTAAAACTGGAAACTAAGTCAAAGGTCATTACGATTTACACTTAATGGATAAATTCTCCAAATCTTTTCTAACCAAATATTCTAGCTCTCATAGCATTAAGCCAAAAATACTTTTGGTTATTTCGAATATTTAACTACATAACAGAGAGAACAAGTATTGCATTGGGTAGATTTTCATACCTTAAACACCGTAGTACACTTTCTGCGGCTGAAGCTTCCTGCATAGCCTCTATTGCTGCTGCTTGTGCAGCATCTCTGTGCCTCATTACTTCCTATTGTGGCAGATGCAGAAGAACAATGAGAAGAAGTAAGATGAACAGAAGGCGTAAACTAACACTAAGCAAAAAGAGCGCTACAAGCAGGATTTTTCTAGACTGTGAAATAGTGATCGGTCTATAATGCAGAAAATATGTTCATACTATCTCCAAACATCCCTCTATCCTAAGGGTGTAATTGGGTGGGGAACTCTGAATTTCAGATATGTTTCATGCTAGTATTTTTTGATAATTTATATATTGAAAAAGGAAAATAAGTTACTGCATCGAGAGTGTAGATAGTTTCTACTGGATCGGTGAATGTACCGTAAAGATAAAATTTTGAAGAAACAAGCAATTAACACGGAAAGGGAATGTATAAAGCACATATAAACTCAAAACTATCTATTTAGCAGAAGATTTATTAAGTAACCAGCAGGGAAAAGAGATATCTTTACTTATCAAAGTATCACAGAATCTATACCTTTCCAAGCTTGGCAAGAGATGGTGGAAGTGAAGCCCATGAAACACTACCTTCGGTCAATCTTTTATGACTAAGAGGAATTTTCACCAAGTTTCCGGGGAATCCAGCTGCATCACTTGAGGATTTCTTTCCACTGGAAGATTTTTGCCTATTAGACCTTTCCAGATCACCTAAAGCGCCATTAGCAACCTTCCTCGAAGACGTATGCACGTTATGGTCATCTTTTGATGACTTTGCAGGTACCTGAATCTTATTCTCCTCTCTCGATGGTAACTTGTCACTTGATGTACTTCTTCTAGGAGTCTGTGATATGTAATAGTTAGTTATTTACATGCATAAGAGACCGGAGAAGGGCTGGGAGTTAGACGCTAGCTAGTTAACAAATTGACACAGCAAACAGTCCAATGATCTAAAAGGTTAATTTGCTCTTTCCAGAAGTTATACAAAATCAATTACAAGGGAAAATATGGCAATGGATTTAGCTGGATCTTTTAAGCTCATCAAATGAAGAAAAGGATTTGATTCTGTACACCATTTCGCTTTTCAACTAACTCGAAGAAGATCCATGATAACAAGCATGAATATATATTTGACATTTTTGCAGGACAAACTAAGATACCATTTAAAGTACAAATAAAATGTGCTATCTCTCAGAACAAGGATCAGGTAGGATAACACTTACAGTAACCCGAATTTCGGGCTTTGGATCAAGTTTGCTTGCTCTTAACATTGAATTGTCTCTTCTTTTTGTCTCCATATTCCCTTCCCAACTCTTCCTCAGAGCCTTGGCTCCAACCTCAATGCCCTGAACTAAATGTTTGATCTGATGTCCCACTCCCATCTTCTTCGCAACAGGACTGGCAGAACGAACAGAATTCGACTTTTCAACCACTCCTACCTTAGCTGTTCCATTAGCCAATCCCTTAACCTTCCCCTGCTGCTTAATGCTGTTGGCAAACTTCTCAAACGAAGAAGGCAATGAATAACAACTCGTCGGAGACCCGGGTATCGACCGCGAATTCAATGACTTTAATCTCGTCAGAGGCTCCTTCTTCACATCTATATTCACAGTCAGTTTTGACGACTGAGACTTGGATCTACTCAAGGGTGAGGCTCTCCTGTCAATCTTATCCTCCTTAGCACTGCCATTGAGTCTCACAGGCACAGATTTCTCCTTCTCCCCAACAATGGCAAGGCCTAAAACTTTCGGGGTCGGTTTTGATTTATCTGAAGGTTTTAAATGAGGATTATTGTTAAGAAATCCAGGAGAATGAGTAGCAACAATATCCTCAGGGCTCCCCACACAGGGGTGTCGACCGGGCACTGGTCGAACGCCGTGAAGAATGGGGACCGGGGAAGCAGCCTCAAGCCGTTCGACATGAATAAACTGACCCAACTGAATCTTGTCACTAAGAATCAGATCACCATGTTCATCAGGGAGTGACACATACGTGGCATGAGAAGAATCAGAGACTTTGAGATAAAAACCTTGATTCGGGGAAAGATCTCCGCCGGCCAGTGCCGGAACTATGCTCACAACCTGCAACAGCGCCGACCTGTGCTCTCCAGCAACCTTCACATCCGTGTTCATGTGCTGCAGCAGCTTGAGAAGCACACCAGGAACGAGATTCGCCATTGTTGGACACCTTCAGAAGAAGGCATCACTCTGAAAACCAAACAGTATTTCAAGAACAACCCAGAAATCTCAAGAACTTCTGAAACAACCCCTTCCCTTCTTCAAGAAAAAATCTCAATCTCTCAACACCCAAGAGGAAATAGAGAGAGCGACAGAGAGAGAACGAGGACAGCTTCTTCTTCTTCTTCTTCTTCTTCTTCTTCTTCTTCGGGCAATGGCGAAATGTGTGGATCCAAATCAGGAAACAGAAAAAAGGGAGAAATTGCAAATATGGGAAAATGGGGGATACGCTTTAGACCCAAATTAAAATATTTACCAAATATATATTTAATCAAACAAAACTCCAGCAAAGAAGATGCATCGTACAGGACTCAGATATGGTAGGTTTCAGCTATTGCTCCCTCAAAAAATGAACACAGTTTTATGTTTTTTCAAATTAGAAAAACCACAAAACCAAAACGAGATTGAGATTCCTCATAGAAGTAGAAATCAAGGCATTAAAGCTGAACCCAGAAATTAAAACAAAACAGCTCCCAGAAAAGAAATCGATAGAATCAATAGAATGGGGTACAGCTACGAATAGAACAGGGAAAAGAAACTCAAAAAACTCACCAACCCAGATGAGATGACTCACACATACACACCATTTGGCATTTTACGCCAAAAAGGCACAGACAAAACTCCACTTCTCTGCAAAAACACCATGGAAAAGGGAAATTGGGGAATTTGTGTTAGAATTTACAACTTCTTTTATTTCTCTCTAATTTCAAGGAATGGGATTTGATGAGAGGAAGAAGAGGGGGAGTGAGGGAAAGAAAATGGAAATGTTGAAGGAAACAGAAAAGTAGAGAAGGAAAAATAAATGATGGGAGGCTGAATACATGATTAAGTAGAGAAGCTGTCAGTGTCTGACACCCACCATATACATACAACAACAACAGCATGCAAATTATAAAAGATTCACAAAAGTTTTTACTTGATCCACCATTGGTTGGTTTTTCTTGATGCACAATTTGAGTTTGTTCTCTCTTTTTTAGGGTTGGTTTCCAATAAGTTTCTTTTTGAACTTCCGGTTCAAACATGCTAATCTAGAATTACCTTGTCAATCATGTAGTAGGGTCGAGCGGTTGGCCTGTAATTAGTTAGGATGCGCGTAAGCTGACTCGAACACACAAATTTAAAAAAAAAAAAAATTCTTAACTTTCAACTGTCTAAGTTTTTACTATTTTAATATTGTGTCTAGTAAGTTTTTTTAGATGAGACATTTTTCAAAAGATTAATAATCTATTTTATACAAAATTGAAAGTATAAAATTTTATTAGATTTTTTTTTTGAAATCTAGATATTTATCATATGCTTGTTAGGCTTACCTACGATTAAGGAATCAACCCCTCCTTTTCAGAGGTGGTTGGCTCAATCTCTTATTCTCATGTTTATTGTACTAAAAAAAAAGTTCTATTAAAGTCGAACTAAAAATTTCAAGTGAACTTTTGTTTTTTCATAAATCAAGTTGTGTGTGACTTATAATTTTTTTCAATGGTAAGTTGAGTGCTAAATCTCATTATTATATTTCAAAAAACAAAAATTCACCGTCTTTTTTTCTTTTAGTTTAACAAGGTTTACGAATCTATGAATTAATAATTTTGATGCTTGTTTGATGATGTCTCTATTTTTCATTTCCAGTTTTTTAGAAATATAAACGTTTGGTAACTATTCAAATTTATTACTGTTGGGAATATGACTAAAATTCATCATTGACTAGATGAGGGGGAAATCGTGAATATATATGCTAGGACAACATTTATATTGATATGAGGTTTTTTGGGTGAAAAACTAAAAGCAAAACCGTGAGATTTAAGCCGAAAGCAAACAATATCATACTATCGTAGAGACATTTGAGAATATCTTTTATCGTTAACATTTGTTTCTTGTTCTCGTTTTCAATTTTTTATAAAAACATAAATAAAAACAAAAACACAGAATTGAAACATTACTAAACCTAAACCAGGAATCAATAATTTTAGTGTGTTTAGTTTATGGGGTTAGATTAGTGTAATTTGAGACTATAAAGTTTTGAGATTATATTTGAGGATAAAATAATTGTGTGTGTGTGTTTTTTTTTTATTTCTTTCCTTTTTTTTTTTATTTGGGGAATAATCAAAACTTTAAGGAGTTTCTAATTGAGTGATTCAATATTAAGGAGGAGAATTTTATATATTTGGTGGGTAAGATTTCTTTGCTAATTTATATGTAATTTAGAATCTACTTTTTGACTTTGCATGTTTATTTTTATTAATTAAAAATCTCAATTAAATAATAAAATGCAAATGTTTAAATATTAAATATGCAAATTCTAAGATTTCACTATCTCAAATGTAATAAAATCTTGTCAAATAATAATAATAATAATAATACAATTTTGTAAAATATCCAAAATTTACTTGATAAAGTAATCTATAACTAGAGCTGGTGATTTAATTTTTTTAATGTACAAAATTTATATACTTTTGACAAAAATATGGTATAGAAAAGTATTTACCTTTTTCTATGTAACTTAGAAAACAAGTTATTTTTATAAAGACCAAAGGCATTGGAAGTTTTTTTTTTTTTTTTTTTCTGGGAAAAATTTTATTTTTGGGGTAAAATATGGTCTTTTTAGCTATTTTTATACTTAATATTTAAACATTTGCATTTTATTATTATTTAAGTGGCAAAAAAGCTCAAACAAACCATTCTTACCTAAACACTTGAAAAGAAATTGTTACCTGTCGATTAATCATTGAAATGTTACCCATAAGATTTGAATACCAAAAATTGTCAAATTGGAACAAAATAAATTCGAAAAAAATGGTGATTGAGTAATTTAAATTTAATAAATCTAAAATTTCAACTCAAAATTAAACTCCAACAGACAAGAAGTGTTTATAACTTATTTAAATATGGTAAAATGATTATTGATTAATTTAAATAATTTTTTGTGAATTTTTATTTTCATAAAATAAAAAAATATCGATTGACATGATATTTATACAAAATTTGGTATTTATAAAATCATTTTCAAGAGATTTTTAATGGTATAATTTTTCTTCATTAGATATTTAAAATATAGTTGTTTACGGCAAGTTTTGGAGAGGTACACGTGTCCTTCAAAATGGAGTGGTTAGACAAACGGGTCTGTAACAATGATCCTTGACATTGGTGCGATGTCCTGCCTAATGGACTCCGACGATCAAAATAGTAATCAGAATAAAACGTAGCAGAGAGCACCATAGGGAATTAGTCACAGATTTTTCACTTACCTGGTGGTGGTGGCTCTTCCCTTTTATAGGTGTTCATGGCCGGCCAAGGAGGACATTTCGTACGTGGCGTAGTGGTGCTCCTCACCATATGGGATTCAGACGGGAAGGCGAGGGCATTCCTCGTGTACGGTGGTCACCCTGTCACCTGCCAGTCTGTCATCTCTGTAGACTGTCGTCTGCAAGTCGTGGCGCGTCTCCCGTACTGCATGGTAAGTGTGCAGACATCATCTTCTTTACGCGTCTGCGGTCTCCTCACCAATTACTGTCCCTTAGAACTTGACATGCTTCCTGCTCGGATTTCTTCCTTAATACTATTATTTTAAAAAATATATTTTTAAATTATGCTTTTTTATTAGTTTACCTACCATCATAATAAGAAAAGAAAAACCCCTTAGAAGCATACGTGGTATGTTAAATATCTAATTTCAGAATGAATCTAAACTTTGGTTAAGATCATTAATGGAAAAATGAATTATAACAAACTCAAAATAACTTTTTTTATTTAAATCTTAATTTTAACCCCTATTATTTTGGTCTATAAATTTTCAAAAAAAAGTTTCTATTATCTCAAACTTTCATTTTTACTTCATATTTGTCCCTGCACTTTTAAAGGTAAAGAAATTAACAAATTCAATCTTCACCATTATCGTTCCATTAATTGTGCAATATATATGACCCATATGAATTTAGTTTAGCGGTAATTGTAATATGTCTCTGATTAAGAGATCACGAATTCGAATCTCCCCTCTCCACTTTGTACTAAAAAAAATTGTGCAATATATAGATGAATATGTATATTGATATGTTGATGTGAGCTTGGAGCCAAATAAATTGGCTAAGACATTTATTACGTAGCACAATAGCAATTATTAAAACATACTTTATAAGAACGAAAATTAACTTTTACCCCTTCAACTTGACGGATTAAATCAATTTTCAACTGTAAACTTTTAGTTTCATCTAATGCAGTCATAAACTTCACAATTTCTACCTTATATTTTAACTTTAACTTTAACTTTAACTTTAACAATAATTCAACCAATACAGCCATCACAAGACTCACAAATTTCAATAAAAATCTAACTCAAATATTATCTTTTTTGAAAGTCTTATCAATTTCGTACCAGATATATATTTTAAGAATGTACATTTTTTTTTTAACAATTCTTCAAAAGAAGATAAAAATCACAATATTCTTTGAAGATTAAGGTAAAGATTACTATCTAAAAAAATGGATCGTTTTTCCACCCAAAGATTTAAAAAATTAAAGTAAGATTTAAACCAAATATTATAAATATATTATATATTTTTGAGTGTCAATGGAATAATACTTTGATTGAATTTTTAATTTTGAATTTTATGGAAAAGGGCAAAAAATTGTCAATGATTATTATATATTTATCTTGGTATTTGAGTATTTGGCATATGGATGGCATGTGCATAGTTGTTAGAGAGAGAGGGTGTCGGCTAAGAACCAAAAGAGTCACATTCCACAAGATAATTGAGAGTTGCACTTGCAAACTCTTTTTTTTTTTATTCAATTGTTTTTTAATATTTACATTAAAAATTAAAATCTAGATACTATTTTCATTCCTTTTAATTCGTTCAAAACGTTTGTTTGGGTCTCTGTACTTTTAAAACGTGATTATTTTGGTCCGTATTTACAAAATTTTAACACGAATTTTGGAAGTGTTGTGTTGAAATTGCGATCGGAAAAAATTAGATAAAAATAAAATAAAGAGACCAAAATGATCACTATTTTAAAATTAGAGGGACAAAACAAAACATTGCAAAAGTACGTTGACTAAAATAGTTAAAAATTGGAAATGTATGAGCCAAAATCAACATTTTAAAAGTAGAGGGACAAAAGTAGATCAAAATTGAAAGTATAGTCATCGAAATAGTATTTTAATTATATAAAAGAAAAAAAGAAAAGAATTGGCCAACTCACCCTCTTCCCCACTTTGTCCTTTCATAGATATATATTTCAATTTCATTTATTCTTTCTTCTTCTTTTTTTTTTAAATATATTTATTTGTAAATCATTTGAGTAAGGACACAAAGGTCATATGCTTACCACATCCAAACATGTGGTAGATCTAATGGTGGGCTCCATCCAAGCACTTTTTGCACAAAAGCCTTCTTCTTCTTTTTCTCTCTTTCTCTTTTTAATATCCAAATCATCCTATAAATTGTAGCTAGAAATAAATATATTTTTTATTTTCTAGTGTTGGAGTTAAGTTATGTTTAGAAGTTCTTTTAGCATGGCCACACTTTAATTCAAAAGCATTGTGTTTTGGATGACTTTTGTTAAATAAAAACATTTGTTCTACAAACCTTTTTTTTTTAAATTACTAATGTAGACTGTATTTATTATAGTTTTCTAAGTGATTTTAGATAATTAAAAACGTTCTTTTTTTTTTAGAAATTTACAACACAAAATTTTTTTAAAAGGTTGAATTGCTTCAAAAATATATATTTTAGTACAACATGTGGAGATAGAGATTTGAACTCACAATTTTTTGATCGGAGGTAGGTGTCTTGACCAATTAAACTATGTTCAATTTTGGCTTTCG